GACAGATTAGACTGGATCATCCCCCTGAGTCTGTGACCCCGAAAGGACAGGGACCATATGCTTCCCATCTGGTGAAGCTCTGTGGAAGAGGGAGTGGGCACAGGGTGCTGCTTCGAGTTGGAGAAAGGGGGAGTGATTTGCTGGAGGAGATTGAAATCTGTGTTTGCCCAATTATCAGCTGCAGTGCTTAATCACTCTGCCCTGGATCTCCCCGGCAGCCGCAGGGGCAGTCGGGCGTGGGGGTGGGAGGCAGATAGGATTTAATAAAGAAGCAATTTTATGAGGAATACTTTGCTTTTGGCACTTTCTGTAGGAGTGGGAAAAATGATCCTTTTTTCTTCGGTAATGCCAGGGAAAGCAAGAAAAGCAGAGCTCCATGTTTCAGCTCCTGACGGATCAACCCTCACTCCGTGTGCTCTCACTGCCTCTCCATCCCATGGGGATCCTGCAGGAGACCCAAGGAGAGGGGCATGAGAGATCAGGGGAGAAAGGGGGGAAAGCCTGTCCTGGAGCTGGCACCCCTGCACTGACCCAGGGTCCCACCTGCAAGGGACAGAGCCCCAGGGTCAGCAGAGCTGGCACAGCCCAGAGTCATTCCCAGCAGACTCGTGCCACCACCCAGTAAATCACAGCAGAGGAGGGAAAGGGTTCCATGGACTGAACCCGTGGGGTTTGGTGCCACTGAGAGGTGGGAGAGCAGAGGAGCTGGGCTGGCAACTTCCACACCAGGCTGGGAGCTCCACCCCAGCCAATGTCAGCCAGGAATCCTTACAAGCACGGAGCTGTCCCCAGCACATTCATCCTCCTTGGGAAGCATTTGACTGGCATCCAGTCACAGCCTCTTCTGAACAACCCAACAAGCTATGATTTATGTGATGTGTTTGTCCTTAGACACTGCTGTCAGCAATACCCAGGCTCAGGCAAAGCTGCTGATGCCTGCAGATTTCCAAAGGTCTCTCTCATGGACACGCTGCCCTTGCTGAAGGATAACAAACAGAAGCTTTAGTAAAAGTAAAAATGATGTTTTGGTAATGTTATCCTGTAGCTATGCCCAGCCCCCTCCCCAGAAACCAGAGGTCCCAAGATATCCAGAACAGAAGAGAAAACAAATTGATATACTGTCCTGGGCTCCAGAGATTCTCCTGCAGCAGGAAAAAATATGTGATGCTTTCTCAGCAGCCACTCACAGGATCCCTTTTCCTAAACTGTCAGAATGTTCAATATCTCCCATGCACCCAAAGAACAGAATAGCATTCTCAGCATTAAATGGGAAAGAATCCAAGACAAAAATCACTACCGACCAAATTATGGTTTGGGTTTGGTTTTTTCCTGCAGGAAAAATCAGTGTTTGAGCAGTATTCCCTGGACAGAGGAGCAGCTGATCCCTGCACACTGCTCTCACCTTGCTGATGCAAAAGGGCTTGGTCTGTCTCACACACCTTTCCAAACCACCTTGGATACCATGGGCAAGGTCTTGGCTACACCTGCAAGATCCAGGCCTGGCAGGTAACACAAATTTAGACATTTTAACTTTTAAATCCAGCACAAGCAGCATTTTGGACCCAAAAGAGCTTTGATCATCTTGGGAATTTTCACATTTGCATCAGCCTTTCTCCCAGTTTCACTCATGCCACCCACTGCAGGGCAGCAGCAAAGTGCCCAGCTGCCCTGCTGAGATCCTGAGCACGGAGGAGCCTCGGGTGCCTCTGGAGCCTGTGCTTCATGAATCCCAAGGAAGGTCCCCACAGCCTCCACCAAGGCACCAAGCTCAGGGATGCCACCAGCACAGGGCCATGGTGCAGGTCTTGGTCATGGTCATTCCTTGGTGAAGGGGTTGGGACTGCACAAGGAGCTCTGCTCCTGCTTTAGCCCATTCTCTCTCTGCTCCAGGAGAAGGGTGGAAAATGTGAACCATTCCTAATGAACTTGTTGGAAAACACCATTATTTGGAAGAGGTTTAAGAATAATTTGTGACTTCTAAGCTGTGATTCATGATAATCCGGGTCTGGTTTGTGATCTTCTTTGAATGCTTTGGACTGGTGACTCCGTTGGTTTCCTGGGGGCACTGGTGGCTTTCTCTTTGTACATCAAGTCTCCACAAAAAAAAACAAATTCCAGCCCTGGTTACAACAAGTGATTCTCCAGATTGTCATGGAGGGACCAGCACAGGGAAATAGGTAGTTTCCCAGATTTTTAATTGCCCTGCAATGTAATTTTTTATCCCTTTGCAACACTTTACTACTGAAATGAATGTAACTTGAAAACACTCGGGTTTGGCCAAAAGACAATACAGAAATTCATCCTCAGAAGGAGAATCACCTCTTCCTGCTGGTCCACCTGGGGGCAGACCTGGCAGCTCAATTTGCCTCCTTACCCACTGCCCCTTCCCCTCGTGCCTTGTGTAGCATCAGTTCTCTCTCCAAGTGCTCCCAGCACCCAGGAGGAGACACCAGCAGCAACTGCAGAGATCTTGTGTCCTTGCCCATGTGTGGTGGCCACCACCCAACAAGGTGGCCGAGGGGACACCATCCCATGCCAGCCCCTGCCTTGGAACCCTCCTGGCCCCTCCATTTCTCCACGACAGGCTCAGCAACGCACACAGCACGGCTGGCAGAGCCACCTGACTCATTTCTCTCTACTCCTCCAGCTGATGTGTTTGGAGGAACACGCTGCTCTGACAAGGTGACACATCCTGAGAAAGCCCACACTGCCGAGCACGGCACAGGAGCACCCCGTGCAGCAGCAGCAGCTTGCAGCTCTTTTCCATTCCTCCCCAGTCAAATGAGCCCCAAGCGTTTCTGTTTGATTTTCCTGAAGGATATCGAATTGTTGTCAATCAGGAGAGAGGAGCCCTGAAATCCCCTGTTTTTGAAGGCATCTCATAAAGACACAGCTGTCAGTGGAGACGCTTGGAAAGGAAGAGCATTTGCTAAGGGAGAAACTGCATTAAAACCCAAGTGTGCCTGCTGTTCAGCTGCAGCCTATGCTGGAATCTTCTTTTGGCAGAGGCAACTGCCCTTGAGTCTGTTGGTTTGGCTCAATTCGTTGTGGAATAATTAAGTTCAGTCCACTGCACTGCATAATCTGGAGCTTCTTCAACCTTCCTCAGTAGCAAAGTACTTAATCTCATCCAGCTCTGGGAGCAGTTGGGAACATGAAAATCAGCCAGTGCAAAGCTATCAGGAGCCTCAGCAGTAAGAGGATGAAGAGAGGAGTGTCCAGGAGGCAGGGGAAGGTCAGCAGCCTGCCTGTGCTTTGATGCCTCTGGCTTCTGGAGGAAGGAGAAAACCACGGCATCACACACCCTGAAATGTCCCAGGAGCCAGCACAGTTGCCACCTGCAGAGCATAAACAGTGAGGATGTACCCGTCAAACTCAAGTCTGGAAATGAGCCTGGATGTTTCCAAGGAATCTGAGGAAAAACGTTTCTGTTCCTGGACAATCCAAACTATCACATTTCCTGGCTACAACAAGGATCTTGAAACTGAAAAATGTGTTTTACCGGGAGTGGGCACGCCCCGAACATGGGAAATCAGAGAAACTCTTTTCAGCACTGCTCTATTTACATGTCTTAGATTGAAGAGGAAAAAACCAGGGGACGGTGTTGGACTGAGGGGAACCTCTTTTAGCTATAAAAAATTATCCCTCCCTCCCTTGCTCCTCAGAGGGTGATAACAGCACCTGAACCACTGTCCCAGGCACACTAAAGGATTGTTTTCTGTGCTCAAAGGTCCACTAACACCCAGCCCAGCTCCTGAGAGCTGCTGAGCAGGTCATACCCAAAGCCAGCTTTACTCTCTGAATTAATGAAATAACAGATGCCACCAGGAGCTGTTCTTTCTGCCTCATGTTGCAGGTCAGCCCAGAGAGAGCAGAGGGAAAACCAGTCCAAGAGGGAGGAATCTGCCCATGTCCACTGAAGCAAAATCAGAAGAGATGTTCATGGCAGGGGAAAGCACCCTCCAGAGCCACACTGGGGATGGGGTATCCCTTGGACAATGGAGCAGCTGCCAATGGAGCTGAGATTTCTCCCTCTCAAACAGCTCCTTGAATCGCTCTTGGCATTGACTTTTTCCTGTTCAGCTAATTAAAAATCTGTCTTTGAGTCATAAGCCCCCATTAGTAATAATTTGCTTTGCACTTCTCCAGTGATTTATGGCTGAGATATCAAAGCACTTTAGAAACATTAATTAATCCTTCTAATCCCCAGGGGACTGATCCACTCTCTGCAATGCACCACTGGTGGTGTAACTGTGGGAAATCCCCAGGGTTTGCTCCCAATGCAGGCAGGGAGAGGGGAAGGGAGCAGCATCTGACCCAGCAGCTCATTTCAGCTGCTGTCTGCAGTCAGAGATGTGCAGCCAAAACAGCAGCACTGGATCTGCAGCCACGGGCAAGCCCAAGGCACAGCGAGCTCTGTGTGCTCTCCAGAGCCATCCTTGCTCCCATTCCCGCCTGCCCAGGGAGGGAAGGGGAGCTGCAGCCCCCAGCTCTGCTCTGTGGTCACAGCAGGGAAGGTTTGTGTGGATCAAAGCCATCTTCACCCAGAGGTGGCTCCAGCAGGGAGCTTCACCCTGCAAGTGGCAGCAGCAGGGTCGTTAATCAAAGCCACAGTGCTGCTGACTGCCTTTCCCTGGCCGTCCTGCCCTTTTCTCCAATCTTGGCTCTTTGTTGCTTTATCACAGGAGGGCAGACCCAGGGCTGACCCCCACACCTGGGACAGGGCCCCAGTCCTTGCTGCAGATAAGGATGATTTCCTCCATTGGCCTGGCAGAGCTTTCATCCTTGCGCCCTCCAATGAGCCAGGTGCCACCTGGTGCTGTCCCCATGCTCTGAATGTTGTCACCACAGCACTGCAGGGTGGAGCTGGCTCTGTGGTGTGGTGCCAGGAGTGGGGAAAGGTATAAATGTCCCAGCAGAGTGCCAGAGACAGGATCTCTGACACACCCAGGAGTGTCCCAGTTTCTCTCTGCTGTGCTCAGTAGAACATCACCTCCACCATGAAGGTAGCTGGTGTTTTCCTGCTCCTCTCCCTGGCTCTTTTCTTCTACCAAGGTGAGTCCAACATTTTGCTTAGGAGCTATTTCCTCTCCTTGCTAAAACTGCCAGGTCTGCCACATGGGAAGGTGAGTGTGGGAAGATTCCAGCTGGTGCTGGGACCTTGCTGTGGCCCTGGGCAGGGAATGCTGCAGTGGCCAATGTGCACTAAACCTGTACCTGTCTGTGAGCAAACCCAAAACAAAGGCTTTGAAAGGGTGCACTTGCTCCCAAAAGTGAACAGACCTGCTGCTCTTTCTTCAGGGGTAGGATTTGTCCTGTAACTGGTGATTTCTAGGACAGTGTGATCCTTTCAGAGTGAATAGGTGCTATTCTGGTTTCAAAAAAGCAAATCCAAGAAGACAGGAAATGAATCTATGCAAGGGAAAATGCAGCTCTCACTACCAAAGCCAATGTTTAAGCCAACTGTGTTTTCAAAATCCCATATGGTGCAGAGGGATGAGAACACGAGCTGCTGCTGCTCCTCAGGTCCTGCTTTAGTGGGCTCGTTCCAAACAGGAGGGTGCTTCTGAAGCAGGTCCTCTGTCATGCTGTTTACTGCACAGAGGCTGCCATTGCAGGCCTGTCTGAGCACAAAATCTGGGCTCATTTCAGATGAACTGAGCACGCAGTGAGCTGCAGCTCCTGGATCTGGACCAGTCCTAGCCCAAAGTAAAACCATTGAAATATTGAACAGTGTGGCTACCAGCTCCTCAGCACCAGAATGCTTCACTGCCACTGGGCAGGGCTGATTGTTAATACAGATGTAGTATTAATCCTCCATGTAGATGACTTCTGGGTTTATAAAAAAAAACCCAGGATCATCTTCTCGGTTGTGTCTTTTGCCAAAAAAAACTTCAGGTTGTTTTTCAAAACACACCCACCACGTGTTCCACCCTTGTGATCCCAGCTGCCAGCTCAGCTTCTCCATGGGGAAGCCCAAAGTCATGGCTTGATCCCACCAGCTTTGATGTGACACCTCAGGGCCTCCTTCTAGCAGAGACTTCCAACAACTTGTCTTTTGCTCTGCTTGCTTGCGGTAAAAATGGAATAACAGCAGAAAAATCGCCCTGGATTTACTGCAGCACCTGTCCAGTGTCAGCAGGAGTATCTCAGGTACTCATGAACATGTGGCAATACAGGACAAAAGCCACCTTAGCTCCCTGACAGCTGGCAGGTGACATCTCCAGAAGGGCACTTTGCCTTGGCAGGGCCTTGCACCATTACATGTTTCTGCCAGGGAAGGAGGGTGACACATCAGGGAAGGATTCAGCTGAGAAACGTGGGCGATCCAAGGGAAGAAATTATTTTCTAGGACAAAGGTGTTTGAGTGAAGACATGCAGTCCTCAGCCTAAACTGTCTTTATTCTGTCCCCCTTGAAACCAGCCCGAGTGATGGGTGCTAAGGTGGCTTCTCTCCCTCTCTCTCTGTCTCTCTCTCTCTCTCTCCTCTTTCTCTAGGAAATGCTGAGATGGATGCAGCTGCTTTCAGAGGAATGGAGGTAAAGTTTCCTCTTTAACATGGCACAAGTGAGACAGCACTAACCCAAACACTGGGGAGCCACCACTGCTAAATACAGTGAAGCAATGGGTTGACAGCCCAAAAATGCCAGTGCCCTTCCACCTGCAGTGCCACAGCAAAATCCCAGTGATGATACTGGTTTTCCACTGCATTTCTCCCAAACACTGACAGAAAAGTTCCTAAAAAGCTAATAGTGCTGTTACCTGCCAAGAAAGTCAGGAGTCCCCTTAGTCTCTGGCTTGCAAGTGTGAGGACAGGTATTGCTGTGGCATGAACATAAAAACTGGGAGGAACATGCTCAGGCAGTGGAGCAGTGTTTACTCGAGGCTGTTACCCCTGAGGGTGTGCAGCAGAGCCAGGTGGAGTTCAGCTGGCCAAGGGAGGCAGTGGCAGATGGTCCCAGTGTTTCTGAGAGCTCACAGCAGAGCTCTGAGGATGGGTTGTGAGGGTAGACAAAATGTGAACCTCTGTGGGAAAGCAAAGCTCCTTTGGTAAATTGAGAGCAGGCTTAACATTTTCAAAATTAACCTTCTGTGCCTCCAGCCTTCTTGTGAGAATTTCAACCTGGGAAGAGGGTGTACAAGGGAGTTTGACCCCATCTGTGGCACGGATAACCTCCTGTACAGCAACGAGTGCCTGCTGTGCCTTCACAACCTGTGAGTATCTGGAACTGCTGCGAGTCTAAATGCCACACAGATGAGGGCTACCACACATATCTGGGATTTCCTGGAAAGAAAGCTGTCTGCATGCAGCTGGGTGGAGCTTGGGCAGTGAGCCCAGCACATCTGGTACGGGTCTGGCCTCCTGCACAGCTGCTGCTCCCGCTGCCCTGAGCATGTGGGCTCCAGCTGAGGATTTGTGTGTGCTGCCCACAAGCAAAAATCTCCCCACACCTGCAGCTGCCAAGCAGCAGCAAGAGCTGGCAGGCATCCAGGACCTCAGACAAATGGCAAAGTCCTCCAAGTCTGCCCAGATCTAGCACACGGGCTGAAGAATATTTTTCCAGATGACCTCAGATGTGTGGTGACTGAGGGAAAAAACTGGGTTTTTTCACCCCAGAAATTTATGGCTGAGCTCTGCTTTCTGTCTTCTCTGCATATGAAAGGACACAATTTGCTCTGGGTATTTTTAAGAATGAGTTTTATATTTAATCTGTGCTGGTGCCAGATTGCACTGTTCTAGCAGAAGGCCAGGTCCAAATGCTAAGGGTGTCTCTGGCAAGACTTGATACACTTCATCTGGCTTGGGCCCTAGGTAATTTAAAATATATTTATACATTGGAAGCACTCTGTGTCAGACAAGTGGAGGAATTACTTCCAACTCAATGCTATTAAGTGGTTCAAAAATCTCTTTTGGGATGATTGAGTCTTATCTGGAGCCAGATGCCCCAGTCTGCAGGGCTAAGGGAGCTTCACCCTTGACTTCACCTGGTGTAGGCAGGGATTTTTGGTGATCAGGCTCACAGGCCCATCTGCCATCATGTAGCAGAAGCTCAAAGTCCAGCTTTTCTGTCTCTGGATGCGTGGGTTTGTGGAGCCAAATTCTGCTTTCAGGAGCATTGCCTCCCTGCTAACTCTGCAGGAACAAGGAACAGAATCCAGATCACCAGGAAAAAAAAAAAAGAGCCTGGATAAATATTGTCAATTGGGTTGTCCCCTCTTTGCTTCATTAACCCAGGCTGCTGCCACATATTCTGCAGCATTTGCTGGTTCACCTTTCAAGGCTGAGCATGATGCAGTCAGGCAGAGAGAGGCTGAGTGGGATCTCCTTAGCAAAGGCACCACAGTTAATGACCCAGCACGGCCTGGCAGGGTGGTAATGACCCTGCTGGAAGCCAGCAGCCCAGCACCAGCTGTCCCTGCATTGTGCAACAGATGGGGGTGGGAGGTTCATCAGACACAACATCATTAGGGCTTTGGCCATGGACCAAGAGCAGGGTAAAGTGAGAGAGGAAGGCTCCACAGTCAGCTGTGCAAAGGGGCATCCAGGATGCTCCATCTCACAGAGCAGAGAGCAGCTTCACAGGGGATGGGAGCTCACAAGATGAGAAATTGGGGTACAAGAAAGGGAAAGACTGAGCTGGTGGCGGATTCATAGCCGGGCAGGAGTCAGAGGAGGGATGGGATGGATGAGAAGCTGGTGCTGCATCTGCCTTGTGTTGAGAGGCACTGGGTTCCCAGAGCTCCCAAAACTCCTTCTTGTGCAAGCTCTGAGCAGCTGCAGCTGGAAATGTGCTGCTCCTGTGGGTCACAGCCCCGAGCCTTGCAGCCCCCCTGTTCTGTTCCCAAGTGATGGCATTCTGAGGTTAGGAACAGCCCTTTGGCCAGGGCCATCTGGGCTCTGGAGCTTTATTCAGGACTCTGGAGCTGCCTGGTGCCAAATGTCCTGGGGCAGAGATAAACGGAGTGTCCTCCTCTCTAAAGCCTTGGTCCACGGGGACAATTCGGCCAGGAGGCAGGATGGAGTGTCACTTGCAGTTCTGTGTGTGCAACTGGCCTGACAAGAGCTGGAAGCCTGCAAGGAGTCTGGGAATGTCTGAGCATCTGGCGGGTGCCTGTGGCAGCAGCGTCTCACTTGTCGCCATTGGTCACTTCACTGTGACCAGCATGCAAAATGCTTTTTGCAGAAGGAAAATCATTTTACCAGCATTTCTCTAACACACCTGAGAAATGGATCTGTCTTTCCAAAGAGGAGAACATCACGATTCCGTGTGAGAGTGGAACAATTCATAGGAATTATGTTCACTATAGGGCAAAAAGAAGAAAATAGTTTTTTAAAGGTACCTTTTTAATATTTTCCTCACTTTTGCTGCAGAAGCAATCAGGAGAGGAGGCTGGGAGCAGGAAAAACCCAAGTGAGACACAGTGGCAGTCTTTTGTTTCTAAAACCCTACAAAACAAAATCATAACCTTTATTGTCTGCAGTCAGACAGGCATTGGAGGTGTCTCAGTGCTGTCCTGCAGCACTGAGGTGAATTATCCTGCCAGGAGGTGTCAGAAAGCACTCTTGAGCTTATTGGAATTAATTAACACATGTCCATGGTAACCCTGAACTCCCTGTCAAGAATATGTGGCCTTGCTTGCTGTGAATAACACTTAGATGATGATTTAAGCAGTATTTTCCTTTCTTTCTGCCTTTTGTCCTCTGAGCCAGGCTCTGCTGTGTCTCAGGGACCCGAGGGCAGCCCCCCAACATTTTTGACCTCTCTTGCAGGCAAAGGAACGACCACGTGCGCATCAGGAACAGAGGAATGTGCCAAATTCCCCGCAACAACGTGGCTTAAACTGAGATGAGAGATCAGAGCACAAAGCTGTCCCCTCACCCATCAAACCCCAATAAAATGGAAGCATCGCCACGTCTTGTGCTGGGATTTCTTACACACACAGCAGACCCCTTACCCCAACACTTAGAGCACCTTCCTGGAAAATGTGGTTTGTTCTGGTGATGCCTGTAAGGAGCTGTGAGCAAATTACTGACAGAGCCCCGGGGAGGAGGCTGGGATGTGCCCAAAGAGAGAGCCAGGATCTGGCAGAACAGGGAGGTTCTTTTTTTGCATCAAGAATTTTGTTTTCCTTTCCTAGATTTCCAGTGTTCGAGCCATAGATTTTTAGCATTCTCATGACCTGCAATTGCATTTGCTAAATACAGGGCACTAAAACCCTTGCTCCAGAGCCTTTAGCGCAAGAAAGAACCCAACAAGTCATCTCCATGCTGACCCATCTCCAGCCTTGTCCATATGCCAGTGGCCCATGACACGGTCCCTGTGCACCAAGAGTCACCAGCCTCATGCTTGTCCTGCAGGTCACAGCTGCTCAGTGCCTCAGAAAACCAAAAAGATTCCATTTTCCCAGGCAAAATTCTGAATTTTTTTTCCCCTCTACTGGCCTTGGTGAGCTTTGCTGCTGGGGGCTGTGGGCTGGCAGGATGGGAGATGCCTTTCCAGGAAGGACTTGAATGAAAGTGCTGGTGGATGAGAAGCTGGACAGCAGTGTGCACTCACAACCTGGACACCAGCATTGTCCTGGGCTGCATCCAGAGCAATGTGGGCAGCAGGGCGAGGAGGGGACTCAGCCCCTGTGCTCTGATGAGACCCTCCTGCAGTGCTGCACAGCTCTGGGGTCCCCAACATGAGAAAAACTTGGGCCTGTTGGAGCAGGTCCAGAGGAGGCCACAAAGACACTCCAAGGGTTGGATCACCTCTGCTACAGAGACAGGCTGAGAGAGCTGGGAATGTTCAGCCTGGAGAAGAGAAAGCTCCTGGGAGACTTTAGAGCCCATTCCAGTGCCTAAAGAGAGACTTTTTACAGGGGCTTGGAGTGATGGGACAAGGGTGTATGGCTTCAAACTGACAGAGGGCAGGGTTAGGTTAAATATCAGGAAGAAGACTTTTACCATGAAGGTGGTGAGAAAGTGGAATAGGCTGCCCAGAGAAGTTGTAGATACCCCATCCCCGGAAACCCTCAGGATCAGGCTGGAGGGAGTTCTGAGCAGCCTGGTCTCGTTGAAGATGTCCCTCCCCACGGCAGGGGCTTGGACCAGATGCTCTCCAATGCTCCCAGCCCGGCCATTCCGTGGCTCCGCGGCGCGAGTGGGACACGGAGCGCGGGGCCGGGATCAGCGCGGGGCCGGGATGGGGAGCGGGGCCGGGATAGGGCACGGATCCGGGATCAGCGCGGGGCCGGGACGCGGAGTGCGGGTCCGGGATGGAGCGCGGGAGGCGCTTTCGGCACTGGAGGCCGCTGTTGCTCCGCCGCAGCCGGGGCCGCAGCCGGAGCCGAGCCCGCAGCTGGATCCCGCAGCTGGAGCCCGCAGCTGGAGCCCGCAGCTGGATTCCGCAGCTGGAGCCCGCAGCTGGATTCCGCAGCTGGATTCCGCAGCTGGCGGAGGCGCGGGGGATGCGCGGCCGGCCGGGCGGGGAGCGGCGCCGGCCCCGCGGGCGCGCAGGGGGCGGGCGGGCGGTGCTGGCCCTGCCAGCCCTGCCCGGAGCCTGGGAGCCGCTGAGCTGCGGTGGCCGAGGCCTCGCCACGTCCCTGTCACCCTCCCGGGACCCGCTGCAGTTTTGGGGGATGCTCGGACAGGAGCGGCCCCGGCGGGTGGGCCCTGCGTGCCCCTGGTCAGTGTCACAGCACTGCCAGCTGCTCCCCGGAGAGCTGGGCACTCCCTGCTTGTGCCAAAGGGCTCTCGTGAGTCAGCCCAAAACAGCCTGGGATGGAACATTTGGAGTTGGGGATCAAACCCTCGTGGGGTTCCTGATGATTCACAGCCCTGCTGTAAATGTTGGTATTTGGGGCAAACCCAGCGCTTTGTTCTTAGGAAATCTTGGACTTCATCGTGGGTAGAAAGATGAGTTTTCTTTATGAAGTGGCTGAAACAAACACCAAAAAATATTTTTAAAAAGCATGATCCATCTGAGAGAGCTCCAGTGCTCATTTCAGATTTCAAATGCAGCCAGATGCAGCTGGAGGGGGGGAAGCACAGGCTCCTCTTCTCAGATCTGCCAAAGAGTGTCTGCAGTCAAGGGAGAGATGAAAAACGACTCACTTTGCCCACATGTAAAATTAATGCACTAAAGGTGGTAGTCCCAAATAGGCTCAGGACTGTGAATTGCCTTGACATCTTTGCACACAGGGGATCCTGGAAGGATGCTTCCCACAGCTGGGATATTGCTGATTCTGCTGCATCATAAGAAATGAAGCATAGCTTTTATCCGGGGAGATCTCTGCCAGCGAGGCTGGCAGGAGGGGAGACTGATCCTCCCTACACTTCTTTCACTGCTCTGGGATTCTTTGGCATGGCTAAACCCACCTTAGCCCCAAACTCATCCCAGTTGATTCTTTCTACCCAGCAGAACACTGAAATGTGCACTGAGGCCAGTTTATGCCAAGCAAAACATCTTTCCTGCCCATGCCATTTCTGGGAAACATCACCCAGTGTTAGCCAGGAGCGTTTCTTTGATGAAGTGAGGTGCTGACCGAGCCTGCAGAGCAGCAGGTCTCGTCAGCTTGCACGGCTGAGCACAGCCTGCATCTCCCCAGGCACTGTTCTGATGAGAACTGGCATTCCTGCTAAATGTCAGCCACATCCGTTTCACAGCAAGGTCCATATCAGCCTGCAGATTATGGGAGGCAGCAGGCCAGGGGCCACTCTGTTGTTCTGCACAGCAGGGGCACATCAGGCAGAACCAGTGGCAACTTTCCAGGAGGGAATGGTTCCTGTTCATATTTCAATTTTGGCTTGAACAAGGGCAAATCTGAGTGCAGGTGCAAAGTTTAGACTCATCCTCAAAAGCCAGTCTTCTGCCCCCATAAGAGTTTTTCCCTGAAGCAGAGGAAGGGAATGCTTCATCCAAGCCGCTCCTCTGCCATCTGATCCCCAGCAGAGCCTGGAGCTGTCCTGCCAGCAGCAAGTCTGACTTTTCTGAGACACCAGCTTGCTTCCCTGTGTCTCCATGATGCTGCTTCCAGTGCTGGTGAGCTGGCAGGGACAAACAAAATGGACAGTGACAGGAGCAATGGCTTCAGTTCTTGGTTTCTTTGTCTAAATCGCTGCAGCTCTTCAGGCTCCTTCCCAGGGCAGTGCTTCTGGCCATGTGCTTGGAGCCCTGAGCACGTTTTGAATGGTGCAGCGAGGGAAAAACAGGATTTGCCAAATCAGGGGAAGGGCTCAGCCATCCACCTCCCTCCTCCTTCCTTTCTGGCTGCTCCCAGAGGGCGCAGCCAGGGCAAAAAATGGAAAGGGCAAGAGCACAGGGTGGGTGAGGAGAATCCCTAAGGATGGTACAAAGGGCTCAGCATTTACTGCCCTGAGGAAGCTCAGGCAGAGAGCAACACAATTCCTGTCCCAGTGCCACAATTCCTGCCCCAGTGCTGCAATTCCTGCCCCAGCCCCCCAATTCCTGCCCCAGCATCACAATTCCTGCCCCAGCATCACAATTCCTGCCCCAGCCCCCCAATTCCTGCCCCAGCCCAACTCCTGCCCCAGGCCCACAATTCCTGCCCCAGTGCCACAATTCCTGCCCCAGTCCCCCAATTCCTGCTCCATTGCCTCAATTCCTGCTTCATTGCCTCAATTCCTGCCCCAGTGCCACACTGCTTGCAATAACAAGTAATTTAGTGACAAAGGGGGAAATTCCCAAAATAACCTCAGTGCTTGAGGCAGCCAGGGCTCTGCAGGAGGCAGGACACCCCAGGGCCCAGCCCCAGCCTGCCTGCCATGGGAGCACCAGCACATCCTCGGGAGGAGCAGGTGGTTTGGAAGCTGGCAATGCTTCCCTTCATCTCCCTCCTCCTGCCATCCAGGGGCATCTCTGCTGCCATCCTTCACCAGGATTTGCTGTTTGGGTGGAAGCTTCTCAAAGCAGGGTCGTATCTCTGTGCCTCCAAAGCAGCCCTGGGTACTGCCAAGCCTCAGGAGCGTCACAAGAGTGACAGAAACCAGACAGCTAAGGACAGAAGGCCCAGGGGAGCATTTTCAAATCAGGAAAACATGTTTCTTTAAATTGAGACTTTTCTGCCAGTAAAAATTCTTGTAAAATTCAGCCTGGGAAGCCCTTCCCCCTCCACCTTCTGGAGCACTTTCCTGAAGCTCCCACCTGGGAGGCAGTATCTATTTCCACTGCCAGTGGCATTTGACTTCATGATGTCATGGCAGCATACTGTGAATTCAGGCTTAGAACTGGACTGAGGGACTTCAGTGAAGTACAAGACCCAAGCTGAGAAGCAGCCCTGAATTTTTGGTAGTTGCAAAACATTCTTGTGTCCAGGCCTGCTTGGAAGAGTCAGCTTTGGTACCACCTTTGCCCACTGCAGCCTTCCCCAACATTCCCCTGATAAAAAGGCTTCTATTTTAGCCACATTTTCCACATCAGATTTGTTTTTCCAGTCTGGAAATAAGCAGAGCCTTCCTCAGACTTGCTGCAGCTGCTGGAGGGCACTTTCCACGAGGCATGATCAGTTCTACGAGACCTGTTTTGGGGGAGCTGAATTAAACTCATTTTGTTGGGGCTGGCAAGGAGAGCTCCCCTTTGCAGACAGCCCGTGGGAACCCATCTGCTGCTGGAAAGGCTCCTGTGTGCTGTGTGCCACCTCCCAGATCTGGCCTTTGGCAAAGGATGCAGACAGAGGTGTCCCAGTGCCCAGAGCAGGGCACAGATCCAGAGCCTGCTCTCCTTGATGGGTACAGAGCCACTTCAGCTGCTGCTGTTGTGACAGCATCGACGAGAGATGTCAGGAGTGGCAGCAAATGCAAACAGTTTTGTCATGGTGGAGAGGCAGCTGCCAGCCC